CTCCCCGCGGGGCCGCCCCCGGAGCGCTCACGCCTCTCCCCGCGGAAGTGCTTCGGGACCCGCCGCGCTCCGAGCCCGGGCGCAAGGGGTTTAATCTCTTTTTTTTTAGTATTACAATTATTATTATCTTTTTCTTACAGGGAATCCGCTCCTCCTGCCCGCCGCGCCCCCCCACCCCGGCTCCTGCCCCGGCACCGCCGCAGGTGCAGCGCCCCAGCCAAGTTCGCACTCACCGCGGGCTGCGGAGGGGGCGCGGGCTGCCCCGACGCGCCGCTCGGGGGCCGGGAGGCGGCTGCGCTGCCGCGCTGCCCGCTGCGCTGGGCTGGGCTGGGCTACGCCGGCCGCCCCTCCGCCCGCCGACAGGCGCCCGAAGTTCCAGCCGCCGCCGCTGCTACCGCTGCTGCTGCCGCCGCCTCACACCGCGGTGCCGACCAGCCCCATCTCCTTCCTGCCGGCGCTGCCGCTCGCTGCCGCCATGACAGCGCGGAGCCCCCGGAGCGCCTGCGCGGGCCGGGCGCGGGCGGGGCCGGCGCGCGGGGCGGGAGCGGCGGGCTGCGCGAGCGCAGGTGGGCCAGGTGAGCGCAGGTGCCGCAGGTGAGGGGGGGGCGGCGGGAGGGAAGCGCTCCGGCCCTCCCTGCCCTGCCCCTCGGGCAGCGCCCCGTCGGGCAGGCTGCTCACCTGCGGGGATGCGGCGCCTGCGTGCACCCGGCCGGTGCCCCAGACTTTACTGCGCTGTTCACAGAATCACAGAATCGTTAGGGTTGGAAGGGACCCCTGCAGATCATCCAGTCCAACTCCACCGCCCAGGCAGGCTCACCTGGAGCAGGTGACGCGGGGAACGCGTCCAGGTGGGTTTGGAATGTCTCCGGAGAGGGAGACTCCACGACCTCCCCGGACAGCCTGTTTCAGTGCTCTGCCACCCTCAAAGCAAAGAAGTTCTTCCTCGTGTTGAGTTGGAACTTCTTATGGCCATTGCTCCTCGTCCCGTCGCTGGGCATCACTGAACAGGGTCAGGCACCATCCTCTTGGCACCCGCCTTTGAGATATTTATATGTATTAATGAGATCCCCTCTCAGTCTTCTCTTCTTTAGATGAAAGAAGACCCAGCTCCCACTGCCCCTCCTCGTAAGAGTTGCTCCAGACCCCTCATCACCTCTGTGGCCTCCGCTGGACCCTCTCCAGTAGCTCCTCGTCTGAGGAGCCCAGAACTGGACACAGCACTCCAGATGTGGCCTCACTAGGGCCGAGTTCTATAACTGCTTGGAGTCTGCCGCTCCTGAAGCAATTTTTGGTTTGTTTGTTTGTTTGTTTGTTTGTTTTTTGGTTGGTTTTTTTTTTTGAGAGGGGTGGTTTTGGAGTGGGGTGTTTTTCGTTCTTTTTATTTTTTTTTTTTTTAATGTAAAACTAAATCGTACGCGCACAGCGGGTCGCCAGCTGCCTTCGCGGCTCCAACCCCGAAGAAAACCGCGGCGTGACAGGGAGCGCCTGTGCTGGGGTGGGGGGAAAGGAGCTTTCCCAGCTCCAGCTCCTGCCGCCGCAGCGATCCCGGGGAGGGGGGTGAGCCGCTTCCCCACCCAAACCTCCAGCACGGGCGGACGGGCGGGCGTCCTTCCTCCTCCTCCTCCTCCTCCGGGCACTGCTCCCTGGGGAGCGCAGGGGGCGCGGATATGGGTCAAGCGAGACACCGCCCAGAGGTGACGAGCTGAGGTTAAAGGGGTGCAGTAGGAGGGAAGGAAAAGTCGCCCTCTTCCCTCAGGTTAAAAGCCTGTGAGAGCTGCGCCGGTTGTTTCGGTTTCCCAGAGCCGGTGTCACGCCCGCTCCCACCGAAGGGGCAGCAGTACCAAAAGCCGGGGCCCCGAAGCCCCCGGCGAGCCGGGGGGTGGGCGGTGTAACCTCCGCGTACAACTGCGGGTCCTGCTCCTGCCTGTTGTAAAGCACGAGAAGTGGTGCCCTTTCTGTGCTACCTCCCAGGGTGACCTGAGCTATAAATCCCATCCTATCTCAGACGCAAGGAGCCTTTTGTTTGACCTTTCAGATAATCTATTTGATATTAACCCGAGTATCTGTTAATAAAGAAGGAGGAGGGTCTGCTCCTCCGAACTCTTCATTCAAGCAGTCTTCAGCTCTGCATTTTTAAGGAGACTGCTTGTGTTAATAGGGATTAGACACGCTTCTAAAGACTGGAGGGTCTTGTACCGGCTGTTTAACACACAGGCAAGTGTTTGAGTTTTATTAACACATTTTCACAGTCAACATGGCAGCAGCAGAAATTTCCAAAGGAAGGATCATCTTAGGGATGGGAGCATAACTTGCAGATACACAAACAGATATCGAAAACAAATATAAATATGCATACATGTTAAAGCTTCACATCTTCGTGATATACAAAGCTGTTATTTATTTAATTCTAGGGAGGGAAAGGGAATGAATCTTTAAATTGGTAAAAACTTCTGCGTTTTGAAATCTGGCGCTAAAGAAACTCCAAAAAGTGTGATGGGTGTTTTGTCTGGGAAATAAAAATTGCACCTTATTCTTCATACTACACCATGTTTGGGACAGAATTTTTTGTATGTTCACCTCCCTGACCCTGTTTACACCAAAAAAAAGTACAAACTCAAACCACATTTTTTCCAGAAAATGCTTTTCTGAAGTGATGTGCAACGTTCCTTTAACTTGCCTGTGGCCTGATTTGGGAATGCCATATTTTGGGTGTGTTGGTATAAAATTTCCTATGGTTTTTGGCCAAAAAAATCAAAGACACTCCACAACACTTTCTGTTTCAGTGCTTGTTCCATTCCCTTCCTACATAATTTTCTCACATTGTTACTTTTATCTATAGAGTGTGTGTCAAGACTAGAATATTTCATAGCTGCTCTCTTGTTTGAATTTCCAAGTCCTAAAAGAGGACTAAGCTCCTTTTTTTTCCTTTCTTTCCTCATTTTCCTTAGTTACATACATACATACATACATATACATTATTAGGGAGAGATGCTGATATCTAATTTGAGCTGCAAACATCTGCAGTTTCTTCCTTGGAATTAGAAATGTTTAGAACTGTAATGCTGACACATTCAGGCTCTACAGTGAGCTTGTGTGGTTATACACATGCTGTGTAATCTTGACATTTTAATCTTAAGAGTTTGCTGCTGCCAGCATTTCTTAGGCATGTTTTGGATTCCTCACATCTACTGCTTGAGCTTCCTTGTCTTTCTGAGTCACCTGTAGTTTCCTACAGTATTGTCTTCCCTCTTGTAAGGAAAATATAAGTACATGTTTTAGCACATCATTTTTACCTGCCTGCTTTTAAGTATTCCCTGGTTGGCCTTTATCTTTAAGCTCTTCATCAGGCTATCTGCCACCAAGCAAAAGCAGAAATGAAATAAAGTTTGGAATTCTTTACGTACCTAGTGACTGGGAGTATGAGTTCTATTTGTGACCCCTCCTGTTATCCAAATAGAATGTAACATTTGTTCTTAATATTTTTTTGCTTTCTTCTTTGTTTTAACATCACATTGGAAAGAAAATAAATAAAATGAAATTAATTGCAAAAATCCAGCTTAATCGATTTCAGATGTTTTCATCTAAACTGCATGCTCCAATAGCCAGCAAATCCAGTTTGCCAGTACGGACAGCATTGTCATGCTGAATCCTGTCAGATCTTCCTGTATTTCCTTACAGATAAATAAATACTTCTTGACCGATCTTGGTTGTTTAAGGCAGTGGGGTATGTGCATTAGTCAAGGCAGGTAAAGTTCAACAGACTGCCAGTTTAGGGTTCCAAAGACAATTGTTTTAATTTGATTTTTCATCCAGGTAAAAACAATGTTAAATTCTCCAGGTGATCTCCATTTGGGCTGGTTTTATGTTCAAGCAACCATGCCAAACCCCCCTCCCCCCAAAGATCTGGAGAAATAAAATACATTAGATATAAGTTATTTAAACTACAGCTGAGAATTGGGAAAGAACCTTGTCTTAATCCTTTGTCCTGAGCTTCCCTAGTGTGGGTTACAAGTCTAACGCTGGTTCTGTCTCCCACAAAAAAGTGGAACTGATGAGATAAGGGAATAAAAAAATGTTTTCTCTAAACCTTAAAATCCAAAAGCATAGATTAAAAATGAACTTAAACCACCAGATTGGGAGTGAACCCCATAACATTTTATGGAAAGTACTAGTAAATTCTCTAAAGTCTATTTTAAGAAAAATATATTTTCTGTTTAAATAACGTTTTAGATATTACCATGGGTTCTGGCTTAGAAGCTTTATTCAAATCTTCTGAACCCTCTATTCAGCACTGATCAGACCCCACTGGGGATGCCGTGTCCCATTCTGGGCTCCCCAGTACAAGGAACACGTGGACACACTGGAGCAGGTCCTTTGGCAGGCCACAGACATGGTGAAGGAGGAGAGGCTGAGAGAGCTGAAGGGAGAAAAGTCTTGGGGGTATCTTTTCAACGTGCATTAATAGCTAGTGTGGGAGTGAAGTACAACAGCTGAGGAACAGACTCACTGCCAGCTTCACTGCATCTGCTGAAAGAGCAATTTTTGGCAGCTGGAGCCATTACCCTTTTAAATTGCTGCAGATAAATCTGAACAGTGCTCACGGATCAGAGCTTTTACATAGAAGCACCCATTTAGTTCATTTAGGGTAAGAAAGCAAGTGTCCACAATAACTCATAACTTTCTTCTGCTTACACAGTCCAACTAAATTAATGTGTTCAGTTTTGTTGGGCTTTGGGGGGGCTTCATGACACCAAGCAATTTCAGAAAAAGTTTTGAATTAAGTACATTTCAGCAATTAAATACTCTTCCTTTAAGCAAACTGAGGGAAAAGAAATAGTATATAATGTTATAACTTTTTATGACAAAATGCTTCTTTATCTTGATCTCAAACATTGGATGACAAGAAATGGCATCAAGTTGTGCCAGGTTTAGATTGGATATTAGGACGAAAGGGTTGTCAAGCATTGGGACAGGCTGCCCAGGGCAGTGGTTGAGTCACTATCCCTGGAGGTATTTAAAAGACATGTAGATGTGGCACTGGGGGACATGGTTTAGTGGTGGACTGCACAGTGCTGGGTTTAGGGCTGGACTCGATGATCTCAGAGGGTTTTTCCCAACCTAAATGATTCTAATATTCTGTCATTAAGAGCTTCTTTAAAAATCCTTGGCTAGAAATAAAAACCCAAATTAAAAAGCTGTTTTTAAATACTGTTGACCTTAAATATGAGAGGTCCTCTCAGTGTTTACTTCAGGAGAGCAACGTCATCCCAAAGCACAGATTAGCTTTGAGGAAGTTTTCTTTTGATCAAGTGTGAAGGTTTTTTCAGTATGTTAGATGGTATTGTTTTATTTTTTAAATATACTTCAGTGCATTTTTATAATGTAGAATTTTACTTTTTTATAATGTATTTTTTAAAATGCATATGGTGATTTTTCCTCATTTTTGTTTAGAAGTGTAATCAGTTTATCTCTTCATTTGTCAGCATCACATTTTCAGCACTGGTGAATTGCTGCTATCAGTGTTTTTAGAAGCACAGAATTAATAAATGAATGCCTAATGAGTCCCAGCTAGGTGGCACTGGAAAATGCATTTCCATTCTCTAAGGAAATTATGCAGGTACTGAGCTGAAGAAGCTGCTTTAGCTCATCTCTTTAGGGTCTTCAAAATGTCAGTGTAATTCCTTACACTACCCAAGCTATAGCAGGAAATATCTCATGAACTTGTACCACAGCAAATTCTGAATAAATTTATGAAACACCTCATTGTGCACTACTTTTAATGAGCACTCCTTACTTTTCCTTTTGAGTGTGCACCCTGATTTGTTACCCTTTTTTCCACTCTCTCATTTGTACTAAAAGATATAATTGTAATTGTGAAAGTCCTCTTAAGAATCCAGTTTCTGGCAGCGCTGTAAGACACATTTGCTCTGTTTTCTGCTTTGGCAGTAAACCCTACGTTGTTTTTGGGCAAAACAAAGGTGCATGGCATGAGCAAACAGAAGACACTACAAATCATGTTTCTTCACTGAAAGCGAAGTTTAAATGCCATATTCATCAGATCAGACATCTGTAAACTTGCAGAGTGTGCTGGAGGGAGGTGTCTTTGCACCTGTGCTTACCTTGCTATGCTGGACCCAAAGGATTCTGCGAGCCTGTGGAAGCAGCTGCTCCCAGCCTGGCTGCAGCTGTGCCCATCCCTCATTACACACAGCTTGCACCACAGTTGTTTCCCATGTACTGTTCGAACTCTCCAGCCAAGCCTGGTCCAAAAGACGCATAAGATCCAGAAATAGCTCCATATTAGAGTTTTGAGAGGGATTATGAGAGGTTTTCTGCATAAAACTCTAGTATGATCTCAGAGGATGTTTTGAAATCCCCAACAAATTACTTCTCACAGAGGCTGGATTAAGATCTGCGGAGTAAATGCAGTTACAGGCCTGTGCTACATCACAGAAAGAAACAAGTAAGAAAAACTTGTATTATTATCAGTATTATACTGATAATAACGAACAGCTCACTGTTGGTATGTATTACTTCAGTCTTTCAGTTCTATTGTATAGTTTGAACAACAAAGATTAGAGATGGTCCTGTAATGAGCAATGAACACAAAAGTTGTATAATCTCCCTCTGGCTTTTAGTACTTCTCTGGATCACAACAGTGAAGTAAAAACAGTTAGAAGAGAATAGACAAGCCGGAGGATTTTGGCTAAGTCATTGTTTCCCAGGGACTGCGTAGCAACTGGTGGCTACACAAAAAGGAAAGAAAATAAGGGACATGGGGTGTCTCTGAAAATTCATGCTGTATTTCATTTTCTTCTTTTTAAACCAGCCTATGTACATTTTGGATCCTGTATTAATTTTGGCTCACCTGAAACCTTTCTATTATAACTACTAATTCCTTCTATTTTTATCCGTCACACATATTTTTTTGCTATCTCATTTTCTTTTCAATAAAGCTCCCCCTGAATTAATGCTTGTGTAGGATTCAGAGGGAGGAGGCTCTGTTGGAGGGAGGAAATTTAATAGGGCTGTGTGTAGGAGGATGAGCAGGTCAAGGAAGAGGAGATGAACCTCATGCTTTGTAAGGAAGGATAAGGATGGTATCAAAATAATGAGGTGAATTAAACAGAAGAGAGAACAGCAGAAAGTGAAAGGAATGGAATGACCTTGTTTTAATAGAAACAGGGATCAATGGCAAAGGAAGTGTTCAGGGAGACAATCCATACAGAGCAGTAATGAATCACGGGAATCAGTGCTTTAGGAATAGGATGCAAACAGGAATAAAATATTTAGAAGACTGCTGCATTTACCAGGCTCTTCCAAACTGCAGTGCCTTTCATTAGATTATTAAAACAGTCGTGTACTAAGGAACATTCTTTTACATACTTATTTACTTTAAGAAGTCACAAAATGATCAAGGATTGTCTGACTAGATTAGCTGTGGTATTTTGCATATCAAGGCACTCAAACTGACTACTTTGCAAGGCAGCCAGGTGCTGGAAGACAGTAGCTTACTGTTAAGGATCAGGCACTGTGGAAATCAGTATTTGCTGAAGATACAAATCTTTTACATAATCCTGTCTGTATTATCCCCTATATCCTATCCCCACTAGATTTATGAAACCGGCGATTCACCACTGATCCGATTACTCCAGTTAGCACCAACTGAAAACAAACAAAAAAAAAAACGTACCTTCACCTCAAAATGCTGTGAACACCCAGCTGACTCTGGGGAAATAGGAGCTCCGGGAAAAATCTTGGATCTGGCAGCAGGTATTGACAGTGGTATTAGGACATAGAACTAAGGAATTAATTGAGCAAAGGTAGATCTAAATAATTTCCATAGCATTATGTCCATAACACTTGACCAGATGGTAATACATTGATAAGAGGTGCTACTGACGTTACAGCAAATAATCTGTGGAAGTACCAGTAAGGAACACAAAGCCAGTCACAGCTGTTACCTCGATGGATACTCTGTGTGAAATTTGTCTTCTTTATGTTCATGGGAGGTGGATTGTGGGATGTGTCCATTGAGTTGTGTAGTGACTTAAATATGATGTCAAATTATCACCCAAAACTGTTGATCATAATGTTATTAGTAAAAGCTGGACTATTGTATCTCTGCAGCTGCCAGCCACCTACTCACCTACCTCAGGGATAAGCGGATCTGTTTCTGTTAATGAGGATTAGACACCATTATGAAAACTATTGATTTACATTTGCCCAGATAAATGCAATTAAACTTGTGATATGCTATTGTACTTCATTTAAAAAAACCCAAAAACCAGCAGTATCCTAGCACCGAAAAAGCCTCCAGGAATTCTGATCCAGACTATGACACATTGCAGCCACATTATCCTGACTATCTAGAATTATCTTTTGTTACTGCTCTCTGCTGCAGAGTTTCACAAATGTACTTAAGGATTGTTTCATTGCACTGGTACTACAATCCTGATGAATGCAAAAAGGCCCCAAATATCCAGAGATTTTTCAAAACTTAGTCTAGTGGTTCTCATAAATCCTAAACTCCGAGAGAAATTTTCAAGAGAAAACATTCCTGGAAGGCTTTGGTTTTCACATTCACAAATGGAAGGCCAGAGAGATGCTCAATAGGATTGTTTTAACCAACTATCTGCACCAGATGAAGAAGCTGTACACTTTGTGTCAGTGAAAAATGCCAAAGGAAGAGGAAAAGAACAGAAGGTTAGCAATGCACAGCTTATTTTCTTAATTAATGGTCCATTTAGGAATGGATATTTTTTTATACAGGAGAAGAAGAGAGATGGGAGAATTCTACAGTAACTATTGCACAACTTTGATTATCAAACAGCTGAGCAGGCACTGGAAATCTTCAGACAGAGCTTCACACATCACGGCACATGCCAGTGGTGGCACACAGACCACTGCCAAGCAACATGCTATCCATGAAAGAGCCAAGAACTGCTGCTGCCACAGTGGCTTCCAATAGCAACTTCAGGTACTGCACATCCTCCTCTTCAGGCCAGGGTTCCCAGGGCACACAGGCAGAGGGCTTTGTGAAGGAAGTTAGTGTATGCTCCTTCAGTTTACACTCTTAGCTGTGATTCACTTTTGGACACCTCAGATACTTGAGGAAAGATTTAACCTTCTAGGTTATTCCACATCCTATGCTTTGATAATTCTGAGGTGCCCAGGGTGAACATTATTAGTTTTTCAAGCATAGCTAATTTTGCATTATAACAATATTTTTTATTACTCTTAACTAACTCTTGCTTTTTTTTTAATTGTAATTTTTTAATTACTCTGCCAAATTCACCACTAATGGGTTCCTCTTACTCAAAAAAAGCTAGCTTTCTCCTGCATGTTTTCGTTCCTTTGTTATGTTCTTATGAGCTTGCAAATCTGTAAGCACTTTTCTCCATTTGCAGGCCAATGTGGGGAGGTCAGGATGTTTATAAGGACCTGGAATTCCAAAAAATTCATTTTGTATTTTAGTTTTGATTATTGCCACTTAAGCATAATGACAACATCCATCCAGCTAAAAGTTCAGTTTCACTGGAAATTGCTTTTTTTTCCAGTGAACCACTGCTAATCAAAAATGTATGAGCAATGCTTTCATAAGTAAAAAAAAAAATAGTAAAACAGTCTCATAAGTAAAATAAAATAAAAAATGGAGAGTGAACAACTTTCTGTTCTAACGTGGCCATCTGTCATTTATAAAGACATCACCCCATTAACCTGTCTAATCAACTCCATTCTTTTTTCAAAGTTGGTTAAGTAAGTTTATGAGGAGACGTAGATGTTCTCTTGATTAAATCTGTTGTAAAACGGCCTCCCTGGTGTTCTGCTTTGTGTGCATTTACACATATAAAGGTAATTACAAGTACATATCACTACTGTAAATTCCATGCTTGTCATATTACAGTACATGACATTTTCATTTCCTCCTGGTGAAAATGAAATCTGATAGTTTCTGTTCAAGCAATAATGACCAATTAGAATTTGTTATTATTAATGTCTATCCTAAAGTACTCCAAGTCATGAGGTGGTTTCCTCCGAGGCAGTTGAATTTATAATGTGGAAAAAAGGGGGTTGACATGTTGCTATATCACCTTCAGCCATTCCCCCTCAAGACTGGTTATTCCTTCAACAAACTGGGAGATCCTTACAGAAAACCCACAATACAAGAGAGAATATTACTGAATTCTGGTTTAGAGTTGAAATAACTGATTCTCCTCAGCAGAAATGTCTGTCTCTCAGCTTTCCTGCTTGACGTTTCGCTTTTATCACAGGAACCAGAGCTCAGTTCTCCTGCAAGTGCCCGTAGCTCTGGAGAAGTGGGAGTCAGTTAAGTTGCATTAGTCCTGATGCAATGTGGTCACTTATCTGCATCGGGATTTCTTCAGGGCCTTCAGGTTCCTCCAGTAATGGGGAAACTATTGCAAACTGACCCTTAGAAGAACTGCCCAAGGAATGAAATCAAATAACTGTGCTCTACTGGAACCACAACAGGAAGGCTTCTATAGCATGCAGTCAAAGTTTATGTAAATACCTGAAATACCAAGTGCTTTTTAAATGCTTTACTAGTCACTTAAGTAAGTCCCAAATAGGTTGTACTTGATAAAATTCCAGTTTTGTCACTGCCAATTTCAGCATTAGGGTAATTTTTTTAATTGCCTGACTCTTGTTTAAAATAAAATACCTGTCTTCAAATCCTAGGATGAGTAGATTTACACATATGGATATTTTTTTAAAGGATCCTTCAATGGTCATGGAAAGCACATTTCTTTTTAGAGGAGTTTGAGAACCAAATCTCTGTACGTTATATGTGAAATCTTCCCTCTAGAAACTTTCCTCTCCAGAGGTAACTTGAGAGATAGGCAATGCACAAACCCACAGTGAAGAGAAGAGGAAAGACAGCTCTATATCATATGTGGAGAGAGAGAGAGTGAGAGGGTTAAAAAAGAGCAAGCAGTTGGAATTATATCATGATACCTCATATGATAGAAAGCAGATGACAACTTTTGAGATGCTCCATTTGGAAGATGGAAACGGATCTCCTCTACTCTCACTGAAATGCTGTGGAGAAAGCTGGTAAAGAAACTGTTGAGGAGTGTTACAGCTCAAGAGTGGCCAGTACCTCTCTTGACAGATCTCAGATATTAAAAATTCAAAGGAACATAAAAGTATTCAGACAAAAATTAAATACCCATAACCTCGTATCAAGCACAGAGACACAAGAATGGAGAATATTACTTGCCACTTTTTCTTCTTTCCTCTTTCCCAGGCCATAAGCACCTGTATCATAGTCACAAAGCGGCAGCTGTTTCATCTCCTTTTTCTCTCCCTGAAGAAAACTGACACTTGGAAAAACAAGGAGTAAGCTTATGCCACCTTTACAGTCTGAAGGTAACTGGATGTAATACCATGCAGCAGATAAAACTCTAATCTAGTGTTGGCAATTTTAAAAAATGAGTGGTTTTGCACAATTTGAGCTTTACTTTACTGGGTCTTCCCTCAGAATTTTATTTTTTTCTCAAAAGCAAAGGGAGGTAGTAGTAGCAGAAGCAGAGAGTAGAAGCAGCAATGGCAGACTAAATACTCTGAACTTCAGCTTGTTCAGGCAGCAGGCAGACAGGATCTCAGGAGGAGCTGTGGATGCCCCATCCCTGGAAGTGTTCAAGGCCAGGTTGGATGGGGCTTCGAGCAATCTCGTCTAGTGGGAGGTGTCCCTGCCCATGGCAGGGGGTTGGAAACAGATGATCTTTAAGGTCCCTTTCAAACCAAATCATTCTGTGACGCTATGATTCATGGGAGGGTGCTCTAAGGGGCAAAGGGCCACAGAGACTGGTCAGTCTTGGAGGCCAGCCTCCTGAAAGCACAAGGACAGTCCACCCTGAACTGCAGGAAAATGGGTGTGCACAGCAGGCAGCCAGACTGGTTGAACAGGAAATTCCTAACTCAGTTCAAATGTGAAAAGGAAGTGTATGGGGCTGGAAGAGTGGATGGGCTGAGCAGTAGAAATGGAAGTTTTGTGGCTCTGAAGGGATGGAGTTGGGTGTTACATGCTGTTGCACATTGCCAGAGAGGCTGTGGAGTCCACAACCTTGAAAATTTAAAAAACTTGAATGCATAAGACCCTAAGCAATCTGACTGTACTTTCCAACCTAAATTACTCAATCACTCTACATTCTTCACAGAATTAATAGTCATACAGGCCAGCCTAGTATAGTGCTCAGGGCACTGTCCAGCTGAGTTTTTACTATTCCTACAGAGAGGCTACTTACAATTTTAACTTAGCCATATTAATTGAACCTAATTTAAACTTAATCCTTACTGGTTCATTTCTGGCAGCCTTTCTTTTCAATTTGTGTGAAATGTATGTACCAGTACGTGGGTTTCTTTCTTGGAGGGAGTGTCAGTTTTCAAATCAGGATCTGCATTGTCATGAGGATTTTAAAGATGGAATCAATTAACAGCCTGATTTAATGTAGAATAAATTTTTTTTCAAATTAAATACAGACTGGAGGCTATCTTTGAGTTGTTCTTTCCTATGTGTATAGGCAGCTTGTAAAAGTATAATGTAATATTTTTAAATTAGAGGTATTTCAAGTTATTGTTAAAAATGGTCTCATTTTGAATATTGGCTGTTATAAAAAATGAGATTTACAAATATTTTCTGATACCCAGTCACATCAGAGATACAACAATGCTGTGTGTTGTTAGCATGATGAAAAATAAATTATATGAGAATAGCATAGATTTTCTACAACATTCACTGCACTTTTTATTCAACATTTTATATAAATTGATCTAAACATACTTACAGTAAGGAAGTGAACTAGATGACTTCTTGATGGTACTTCCTATAAAATATTTCTGTGATTTCTTTGTCAGGAAATTATTACAGATCTGAGCCCAGGGTTGAGAAGTCCTTCTGCCTAAGCCTATGCCTACTGAAATGCACTGAGGTCTCTTCAGTTAGACCATTGTATTTAGCTGAAAGAGATCCAAAAAAGAAGGCTTAGGTGCAGAAATAAAGGTTTACATGCTCTGGTAGTGCAGCTGTACTGGTTCTGATGACAATGTTCTGGGTTGTTATTTCCTCCTCTTTTATTTTAAGCACCCTTGCAGTAGCATGGCAAGGGTGTTTATATGTTTAAGAAGGATCTCTCTTTTTCAACTTACATTTGTATCTCAAAAGGATACAAAATTAAAATAGATGGGATCAGATGTTAGCACATAACCTCACTGTTTGAATTTAATAAATACTGCAAATTGCAGTCTTGCTTAAAGAAAGGAGCAAAAATTGAATAAAGGGTTTGGAATTCAGCTGTAAAAAATAACCATAAGTATCCACACATTTTTAAAAGCTTGAATTCCAGTGTTACGAGAGTGTGAATGTTGTCGGGGACTGGATATAGTATTATTCTAGTGCTAAGTCTATTTTCTGCTTTTTGAAAAAGAATTTTCCACTAAGATTATGACTGCCAGATTTCCTACACCACTTGCTACCCTCAAATATTTTGGAGGCTCCCATCATCTTAATACAAGCTGTAAAAGAGATGATTTGGCCCTGGGACTACAGACGTGCCAGTTCCTGTGACACTTCAGACACCTGGCAGTCTAAAGTGTACAATTTGAAAACACTTATGTGAGCAAATAACCGTGCTCTCCACTTACTAAATTAATTTAACGAGCCACATTGTAAAATTATACTGCAAGCCATTCATGATCCTTGAGATGAAACATGTTACTCTTCAAATAATGCTGTACAGTGAAATACTTACACCTTGAAAGGAGAAAAAAAAATGACAGAAATAATTTACCTGATCTCTCATATTTTTAACATATTGGCCTCATACAACTGATGATTGGGTAAATAGGCATTCAGGCACATGCCTTTTAGACAAAAAATCTTAAAGTCTCATTTTCTTAATTTGAAGTGGGTGCTGGATAAAATGCATGAGGAAAGTCAGATTTTTCTGCCAACTACAGCATAGTGGAAATCTTCTTGCATAATGAAGTGTTAACTAAGTCATGCTTTTGGAGAATGATTTAAAGTGTGATTCCAGCACCAAGAGACTGTAAAAAAAAAAGCAGGGCTCCATGGTGTCTCAGTAATTTCAGCATAAGATATGCTGAGTTTGCAAGGAAAAAAGGTGGGAATGTTTGGTTTGGGATTTTTTCCCCCTCCTAATTTCCAGTTCCCCAAACTCCTCCTTTGGGCTTTTTATATCTCATGCATCATTAGATGGAATAAATTATCATCAGACTAAATTGCATAATTAACTATGGCTGAGTTGGCATTAAAGGGGGAGAGATTTTAACCTGCACCATAGGCAAATTTGATGGGAAATAACTGACAAAGAAAACGGTCAATCACCTCACTGGGGCTCTTCTACAAAATAATCTTTTATAGAAGAATCAGAGCTTTCAGAAAAGCATAATGAGCTAAAACAAGCTTGTATAAAAATATGCATGATATCCCAGTTTAAGGAAAACTCAGTACCAGCTTTATGGATAAATTTTAGATTGTTCTATCAAATATCAGGAAAAAAACCCAGAGAACTGAGAAACAGAGAGATAAATAAAATTTTGGTATTCAATCATTTGCTTAAGAAAATAAAAAAGAAAAAGGTAGATAGAATACATAGAAATGCCCTAAAACAGGTAAATCTGGATAATCCACTGAAGTATCATCTAAAAAAGCAGAGGATTACGGAGCACAGGCACGATCTGTCCCCGTATCCTGTTTAATTTGCAGAAGTAAAAAATTAAGAGGCAGCATATAACATCTGGTCTCTATTCCCCACAGAGACCAGATTTAATTGTACTTATACTAAGAGACCATTATTTTTGTCTAAACAGCTTTCTGCTCTTTCAACCACAGTACTCTTAGTACCTTGGCTCTGCCTGTGCACAGTGTCTCCAGCCCACCCTCCAAAGCAGCAGCAGAAGGGGATGGGCATTTTGGGGGAGAGGGCAGAAGTGGCCCACTCCCAAGGAAGGGAAGCTCCCTTCCCTTCCCATTCCCCACTGCTAGGGCAGGGGGAGGGCTGCAGGGAAAGGCTGTGACCTCAGCAGGCAGCACAAGAGGTGAGAGGGGCTAGAAATGCAGTGTGCTTGCTCCCTGTTATTAGGAATGCTGGGAAGTGATCCATGCTAGCAGTAGTTTTTTCTTCATAATTTATGTGTTATGCCATAATGTTTTGCTACAGTGGGATTCAAACTATTCGAAGTATTTTTAATTAACGAGGACCCACAAAGGAAGAAAGCTATATCCGTACAAGAAAATAGGACAACAGGGAGCCAGCCAGAATTCTAAGGAAAATATTGTCAATGAGGCATACGGCTGACTGAGTCTTGACTTACACTGTGGTGCAATTATTTAGGGCGAGCTAAATAATGTAAATTTGAAGCAAAATCAAAAGCAGAACGTTAAATAGGCTGTAATAGTGCTATGGAAAAGCATATACTCACCCAGAATGGACACTGCCTGGCAAAGCACCTGGACCATGCTTTTTTTCTGCCTAAATTACACATGAACTCTTGACTAATGTTACTCCAGATGAAATTTAGGTTTGACTAATGTATTCCTTAATAGCTGCTTGTTGTCGGCAAAAGTAAAGAGTTATAGATAACAAAATTAAATATTTTTTCCCTAAATTAGAGGCTTTTAGGCATAAAGCTAACTGAAGTGAATTTGCCATGGAAGCAGGCCACCAGGATTTAGCTTGCTTTGCAGAGGTGCAGAGTTGGTTTTGCTTTTTTGCTGTGCAAGTTATTTCTGCAGATTTACCCTGACTGTAAGATTCGCTAAACTGGAAGTGTAAAAACAGTTGTAGGAGTTATCTGAGAAGGAGAGAGGAGAATTTAAAACAAAGAGCTTGTGTTTTACTTTGCTTGTAAGGTAAAAGTAAAGGGAAATTTGGGGATAATGTGTATTATGTATGCTTTATGACAGCTAAAATGAAAGGGAAGATTGCTTTTTTTTACATCTGCAAGGAATAATTTTCTTGGTACAGATATTAAGTAAAATGCTGATAATTCCTTCCTCAAATGTGGAGTACATAAATAAGTTATACAAGAATACTGATTTTGTTGTGCAGTATATTCATAAATATTAGATAAAAAAAGAATCTCAGTTACAGAAAGCAACAAAAGCTAGTGCAGTCTCTTGAGTTTTCCTTGTATTAAAATAAATTAGTAGACTTGCTTGGATTCTTTAAAATAATTTCTACCCAGAAGTTAAACATGTTTAAATAAACTGACTGCATAGATCTTCCAAAGAAAGAAAGGCCCAACACTACTGCCAGACTTATGAAGAAAGTTTCTTGGTTTTATCTGGTGGATTAAAAAGTATATGTTAAATAAAACATGGTTTCTGTTGATTACTTGATAATAGTTTGGGTGGCCTGTGTATAAAAAAAAATTGCAGGTTTCTCTAAAAGAGTCTGGTTTTGTACGAACTGCTAGTTTTCACTGCTGGTCTTTTTTTTTTTTTTTTTTAAAAAAAAGGTACCAGAAGGTTACATTTCTTAGGAACACTTAAAAATATCTTTGACACATGTAGCAATAAGAAAGTGTTATTCAAAGCTTGACCATTTAAATAGAATTAATAGAAATCCATTTTGTTTAGACTGGAAATCTGAAAGGATGAGACTGAACAAGACTCCCTTTTCCCCCATTTTTCTAAAAACAGTCATACCCTGAAGTGTTGACTGAACTGTTCACTCTCAGCTCTCTGTGACTTTAAAGGTGACCTTCTCTCTGTCTGCACTGTGTTATAGGGGTAGTGACTTCTCCTTCCTTGTAACCTGTATAAAGATCCTTGGGACTGAATTGATTTGATTTAGGGAAGCTGAGATCAGGAAAGTTTCTGGTACTTCCACTGTTCTTATCTTACATAATGATTACTAGAAAAAGACACTACAGAACCCCTTCACATTGAGGAAACTGATGGCAAAGGCCAGTAATTTTGGGTGCTAGAGACAAAATCTCAAAGCAGTTAACCAGCTTCATGGCAAATGGACAAAGCTAGAGGAGAAGACAGGAGATGTTGCTTCCTCTATGTTTCCAAAGATTTACAGGGAGCTACATAACACATCCTGGCTTCTGAATTACGAAACCACAATTATTCTTAGGTGGGGGTTACAACCCCTTATAAGGAGACAAATAGTTTCCTTTCCCACAAAGCCTTTCTTCTAGAAATAGAGATGCTAGACCTTAGTAATCGAAGCAAGAAACTTCACACGTGTCTTTCAAACTCAGGAGAACGTATAACCAGTTCTGACCACAGGAACTTATTTTGTCTGACATGGTGGAAATAAAAACCATGTTGCACAGCTTACCTTCAGTTCTTCTGCCTCCCTCCAGTCACCAGGCATCTCCCTCATGGGCTGGTCTGATGGGCTAGTGGACAGGAATAGCTCCGTTTCTTACAGTATTTGAGGAAGCCACTTTGTTTGGAGTGGTAGCAAAGTTTAAAGGTCCTTCCCCTTTACTCCACACTGGTGATGCCACATCTGGAGAGCTGTGGCTCAGCTTTGACCAGTGGCAGATCTTTTCTGCATCCTGCTGGAACTGGTTCTGTCTGCCACAGGGACAGTTCCTGATGTCTTCACAGAAGCCACCCCTGCACCTCTGCTGCTACCAAAACCTGGATACATGAACCTAATACAGAAAAAAATAATATAAAAAGTGAGAGGGTACAAGAAACATAGTGACAATTTAAAAATACCTTGAACTGCTCAGAGGGAGACATTGCAAGAAAATTTTAAAAGGGACAAGAGACAAAATATAGCAGGAGGAATTCATCAATGATCTGGATGAGGGGATTGAGTGCACCCTCAGTCAATTTGCAGGTGACACCAAGTAGGGTAGGAATGTTGATCTGGAGGGCAGGAAGGCTCTGCAGAGGGATCTGGACAGGCTGGATCAATGGGTCAAGGCCAATGGTATGAGGTTTAACAAGGTGAAGTGCTGAGTCCTGCACTTGGATCGCAAAAGTCCCATGCAGTGCTACAGGCAGGGGACAGAGGGGTGGAAAGCTGCTTGTCAGAAAAGGACCTGCAGGTGCTGGTTGGCAGCAGCTGAAGAACATGAGCCAGCAGTGTGCTCAGATGGTCAAGAAGGTGAATGGCATCCTGGCCTGGATCAGGAAGGATACAACTAGTATGGCCAGCAGGACCAGGGAAGTGACTGTCCCCCTGCACTCAGCACTGGTGAAGCCACACCTCAAGTGCTGTGTCCAGTTCTGGACCCCTCAATGAAAGAAAGGCATTGAGGTGCTGGAACAAGTTCAGAGAAGGGCAGCAGAGCTGGCGAAGGGTCTGGAGCACAGGTTTTATGAGGAGGGGCTGAGGGAGCTGGAGGTGTTTAGTCTGGAGAAAAGGAGGCTCAAGGGGGACCTTTTCACTCTCTACAACCACCTGGAAGGAGGTTGTAGCGAAGTGAGGGGTCAGTCTCTTCTGCCGGGTAATAAACGGCAGGACAAGAACTCCAGCAGGCGGGCGGGGAGCGGGCACAGGACAAGGACAACGCCGCAGTGCCGCCTCTCTGCCACCGGGCGGCGGCAGCGAGGGCGGGACGGGCGCTGCAGGGCCGCCTTCGGGCCACCGGGCGGCGGCGGCGGCAGCTCCGCGCTCCCGCTCGGATCCCGGTCCTCAGCAGCGCTTGGATCGCCCTGCGCGCACCGCACTCGGAGAAGAGAGAACTAAATCTCAGCTGGCGCTGTTTCATCACCCTCTCGGGGCAGAAAAAACTCCCAAGGTAGGAGGGGAAAAGAATGAAGTGCCTCGGGGCGCCAGTTTCGGGGTCACATGGCTCAAGTACGCTGCATGTAGCTTTGGTGAACATTAAGGGAAGTAAATACAAATACATGCAGCCTGGTCTCAGAGGAGGAAGGATGCTGCTTTTTGTCCCATGTCAACAAGCTACTGAGAAAGCTTGCTCTGCCATGCCAGGGAGACCGTACAGAAAAGCAAGTCTCAGCTATTTCATTCCTCCAGCAAGGCAGACTAGTGTCACAGCGTGGAAGGCAATTCTTACATGGTAGTTACTCTGGGATATTTAAATCAACTTACTATTACCATCTTAGTCCTTTTCCCATCTAAGGAGTTGAAAAATTCCATTTCTGCCAGAGTATCATCAACTTTATAAACTGCTGCACGCTACAGACGTTGTTTCTTCATTGTTACTTTACTCACTGGGGAGTTTTGTTTTCCACCTTTCTCCCATAAAGTGGGCAGCAGGGAGATGAGCCATACAAGCAACTTTTTTTGGCTTACTGCAGCTTTCTCTTGTCTTTGTGAGCCAGCTGTGTGGGTATGCAGATGCTACACATGCCTCCCTTGACCAGAAAGCCTGCACCCAGAGGTCTTTGTGCAGCAGCTGTGACCTTCAAGGAGTTTCTTTGCAGGTGATGCAGCATCTTGCACTCATCTGTCCTTAGACTGCTACTTGCTAGTACTGGGATCTGTGCTTCTAGGTCAAATATACATCTCTGGGGATTTGCATGGTATTCCAGCCTTCTTGTGCCTCTGAGCATGGCTTTGGATCTGCAGTCCAGGGAAGGAAATATTTTCAATGTTTTCCCCATGCTCAGGTGGAGACCCGGCACAAAGGTTCTGCTGAGGCAGAGTTGGCTCAGCGTGGGATATCCGGGGAACCCAGATACCTGAGCTGCTCCTGCCTGTGGGCAGCACTACTCCTTCCTGCAGGAACCACCCTGCGGGCTTCCCTCAGAGACCAAACCAAAGCTGGGAATTCAAAAATGGGTTTTCCAGTCATTGGCTCCTGTGGCACCGTACAGCTGATCCCCAAGAGAGCTGCCAATGGGGGGAACCACAGCCCCGGCCGGACACAGGACACAACAGCAAAGACACACCTGTCACCATGGGTGACCTGTCATCGTGGGCTGCAGAGCTCAGCAGGACTTGGCTGGTACTCGTGCTTTGGGCTCTTTTTCTTCCTGGAGCTGGCATTCATGGAGTCTTTTCAATAAAAGGGAAATACTTTCTAATACGAATCAGTGCAATGGGAATTGCAATGAGACTTATTTGACTGACCTGAGGGTCATGTTTCGTGATGTATTTCTGTACCAGAGTCTGAGGTTATATTTAATGTGTCCTTTGGGTGCTCGCTGGGAACGAGGAAGGCAGATGAACAGACACATGTCTTAGAAGAACTGCTGAGTTCAGAGCTGGTCCTGATGACTAGCAGCAAGACACAAAAGTGATTTTGTCAGTGGGTAAAGCATTTACAAACATGTTGCATTTCCAACAGAGGAGGTGTTGGCTGCCCTATACAGACAAGGGCACAAGGGAGGATAGCTCTGTGGGAAGCCAGATTGTTGCCCATGTAATGATTCAGGGAAAGGGCATTGGAATAACTTTGAAGTCCACCTGCCACCTCAACCCCAGCTTTTTCTGTTGCCCAAGATGTGTATGAGTTGTAAATACTCAGACACCCCTCAGTCTGGCCTTTGGGTGGTTTTTGCTTTCTTCCTCACTAAGGCACTTTTGTCTTCAGTATTCCCATTGAACACTTCCCATAAACTGCAGCTTTGATTGCAGCACATTTAAAGAGGTGGGTGATGAGCTGGTGTTGTCCAGTGGGTGGCTGTAGCACTGCTTTGCCCTCAGATTGCAGACAAACCTGGCTGTCTCATTTTGGTGAAGTATCAATGACTGGACCAACCTTCAGACTAGCCAGAACACTTGCTGAACAGGTAGGAAGGCACGGAATAAAAAGATGTCTCAATGCACGACTGTGGTCCTGCGTTTGTAATTCTGCACCTGTGTCATGGTTTAACCCCAATCAGCAAGCAACTCGGCCCCACTCCCTCCCTCCCTCCCTCCCTTTCCCTGGTCAGATGGGGAGAGAATCAGAGGGGTCAAAGTGAGAAATCTCATGGGTTAAGATAAAGAGTGTTTAATAGGTAAAGCAAAAGCTCCACACACTAGCAAAATGAAACAAAGAATTCACTTCTTCCCATGGCCAGGCAGGTGCTCAGCCATCTCCAGGAGAGCAGGGCCCCATCACATGTAACAGTGACTTGGGAAGACAAATGCTCATCACTCTGAATGTCCCTCCCTTCCTCCTTTCCCCCTCAGTTTTATATGCTGAGCACAACACCATATGTGTGGGATATCCCTTTGGTCAGCTGGGGTCAGCTGTCTCGGCTGTGTCCCCTCCCAACTCCTTGTGCACTCCCAGCCCACTCACTGCTGGGGTGGGGTGAGGAGCAGAAAAGGCCTTGGCTCTGTGTAAGCACTGCTTAGCAGTAACTAAAACATCCCTGTGTTATCAACACTGTTTCCAGCACAAACCAGCTACTGTGAAGAAAATTAACTCTACCCCAGCCAAAACCAGCCCAGTCTGGTCCTATGAAAGGCCCTAGTTCTCCAGAAGAAGGTACAAGGAGGTCCCCTAACAGCAACATCCTAACCAGACCTTTTCCTTTAGCACCCGAGAGAGACACGATGTGAGAATCAAAAGGCAACATCTTTATCCATCGAGGCTGAAAGTAAAACCAAATGGGTAAGTCACCTGCAAATTCCACGGCAATCTAGTCATTCCAGACAGACACCTGCACAGCATGACAGACAGGTTTTCTTGGCGTCAGGCAATTAAATTTTTATCAAGCTGTAAATCAAAACACCAGCTTACAAATTACCATCATAAAACATTGCTGGAGGTTATGTTTTCCTGTTTCTTTTCTACAGCTTATTAACTCTATCTTTCTGGAATATGCTGGTTTAGATTTGTCACAGAGTAAAGCAGAAATGGAATTCAGGTATATGGATGAGTCTTAAAACACTGGAAATAACGTTGTGAACATTTGTTAAAGCTGCTTGTGCCTTCATTCATTGGATATTATACTCACTTGAATCCATTTTGTGTTATTATGTAGATGCATGCACAGACATAAAGCTACCAGATGAGTTACAGCTACTTGCTGTGTTTGCCTTCAAAGAAGCTGATGGACTGTCCTGTCAGCTGGATTGTCCACCTGTAACTGCTACGCCCCTCCCTGATTTATACATGTTGGGAAAGTGCCCAAGAAGGAGCTGGGCCATCTGCCAGTTTGCTGACTTCTTACTGTCATAGACTGAGCTCTGTGAAATTAGACTTTGCTGCACTACAGAATTAAGTGTATTACCTTGCCCTTTGAGATAAACAAATTAAATTTGCTGCTGCTGATGTATGCTATGTTACACTGGGCACTCTGCCTTTTCTTTATTCCAACCTTACAGCATCAAAACATTCATTGAAGGATGGTGGTAACATACTGTCCACATTAAGTGACATTTTATCATGCAGATCTATCTCCTTCATGTTTTTTCTAGTCAGATGTTTCTGAAATTTCAGTAAGAAATAAGGAAAATATTTTGCATGGCTTTGTCAAATATTTTGAATGTAGTTTGGGCAAAGGTCAAGCGTTCCTTTGTGGTCAACAAGTGATAAGCAACATTTAATAACATGCCATTTAAAATGTGTTAGTTAAAAGAAATCTAAAAGTGCTGCTTTTCCAAAGGTTCATGCAGTAATATGCTGAATTCAGAAATAGGTACATTGTGACTGTTGTAGTAAGAAGAGGCCTCAGTGCTGAAGCAAAGGAAAAGGTGCCTGTGGAGAAGAGGAGATATAAATTTTGCAGAAACAGCAAGCAACTCAACTCACCTTTCATAGGGTATTAATGCTGACCCTCACTGCTGATCTTCTGGTCTTAGCTTCCCTGAAATTAAGACCAGGGATCCATGTCTCCTGTGTGCCAGGAATATTGGTTATCAGCCCCTTCAGAGATGTCTTGTGGAAGAGCTGGGTCTCCTTCCCACCTGCCCAGAGCCTGCTTGTGGATGCTGCAGCATGTGGAAAGGATCCTCCACTCCGGCTCTGCATTTTCAGCCTGGACGTAAAGCAGCATATTGGACAAGATGCACTCCAGCGTCTCATTCGCTGTTCACACTGTGATTTAGGATTAACAGCTGTTAGGACAGAAGAAGAATATGTACAGGGTTTTGTTTGTTGCAAGGGCGTTTAAAAACAGACCTTGTAAATCCTCAAAGAAGTCGGCAGGGTGCAACTGCATCGCACTGTGCTCTGCGTAAGACGGAACTCTGGCCAGCCATAGTTAGAGCATGATGATCACAGGGAATGGGGCCAGAGAAGGGGGAGATTGATTACAAGTTAAATGGAACATTTTGGCTGGTTCTGTGTTGCAGTAAAAGCTTTACTGGTGTCAATAAGAAAATTCCCATTTATTTTATTGCTATGAGACAATCCTCCCTCCTTGGCCCCCACTAAAAAAGAAAAAAAGTAGGTTCTGGAAAAAAACCACTGAATGTCATTAATTCCAATTCTGGAAGTAGATTGTTGAAAAAGCATCATGGCTTGTGAATGCAAACACTATATAAAAGCACAGGCTGGAATAAAGAAAGAGCAGAGTGCCCACTATAACATATACTTACAGTTGAGCAAGATACATGGGATGTGCCTGACAGCACCATGTTTTGCTAAGGAATGTTTGCACTTCCCTATGTCCTGCACCTCTCCAAGATCTTATCTGAGTGTGGTCTGACTCATTCATGTGTTTTCCTATTTGTGGCACCGTGCATAAAACATGGTTTTGTTTATTTCAATACATGGCCCATATATGGGCCATATTGGAAAAACGGTCATTTCGCAGTGGTGTGGAAAAAGATGAGATCCTAAATACAGGCTGCGGGCAACCTGAAACCCCAAATGGGAGAGAGAACATAATCATGCACAGATACAACTGTGCAAAATGAAAACAAACTGTGCCTGAAATGCAAAGACCAATGGGCTGAGCAGCTCACAAGTGTCTCCAGGAGCAGAGATCCAAGGCATGTGGAGTTAGGACCTGTGTGAATCTGTGAGGGAACACTTCTGTTTGTTTGCTAAGGTTTTCCCAACTGATGGAATAACCTCCAGTGTTTCAGTATTCATTAAGGACTACACCTGGGCCAGGCTTGCCCAGAACACAATAGGTGACAGACTGAATCAAGATGTGTTTACCTCCTCAAAAGTCAAGACGAGGATTCTCAGAAGTTCCCATATGCTTTGTGTCAGGCCCTGCCCTGCAAGTTCACAGGCTCACTTGTAAACACAGGATTTCGTGAAATCATCTGCATTACAAAATGATGCTACAGGATTTCATTTTGCATGTGGGCCTTGTGCTTTTTGGTTTTTTACAAAGACGTAATTTAATTTGAATATTGCCTCAGTTTTTGTCTTACAGAAGGGGCATGGGTTTATAACACTGAATGCCTATCATCCTATTCTTCCTATTTGCTCTTAGGACGAAGCAGTAACCCTTCCTATAACAGCAGGCAGTGGTTGGATTAACAAGTAAGCAAAGATGAGTACAGCATCAACAGGAAATAGAAACTGCTATTAAGCACAATAATGCCAAAGGCTGGGTCACATGAGCTGACTTCTGTATGATTTCTACCTTGAGAAATTTCTGCTGATTTCTGCCTTCAAAACCACAAATGCAAAGTAGCAACTACTTTCAAAGAACACTCTTTTCCTGTGTCAGTTCTAGAAAAGCCTTTCTCATGAGAGTTAGAGAAAGAAAAGCACAGCCAAATAAGAAGCTATTCCTACAGAGCAGGCTTACCTAAAGAAATACAGGTATCAGAATCTCTCAAAGGATGCTTGTCAGCAATTACCTTGCTTTAGCACCCTATTTTCCAAGTTGCCCCAAAAAGGTCACCACAGTCCATCTCTGAAGGTTAACAGGGATGGGCTATTTCAGACCAACAATGCAGTGACTGTCAGAGACCCGGGCACTGGCAGCCCCTCTTCTTCCCTCTTGAATACTCGCTCCAATTTTTAGCTCAGGCACAGAAGACAGAAAAGCTGCCTGTCTCTCAAAGCAATATCCTGATTAATTAATTCAGGAGTCTATTGGTAAGACTTGGCATTTCCCACCACTCTCAGAAACCCAGACCTCGTAGGTGCAAGGGTAGAACAAAAGAACTCACCCTACTCAGTGCTGAACATGCTGAGGGTACAGCACTAGGTCTGCCTCCATGACTCTCAACAGTTTCTGAGAGAAGCCTCACATAAAGGCTTTGCAGCAAGGTAGCAAAGGCACACAGTGGGGAGGCATCAGGAGAAAATTATTCTCATTCCTTTTTACTCTATGGCAGCAGGAACCATCTCTAAACTTCCAGCCAGAAACAATGATAAGTCTGCCCCAGAGACCCCAGCTGAGGCATCTGATCAGGCTCTCACAGGGCTGGGGACAAACATCAGGCAAATGCACTCCATTAGGATCACTGCTAAACACATATGCCATGAGCAGCATTTGTTTTCCTTAGGATTCTTAGGTCAGTTCTGCTAAAGCTGCCTTAAATCCCAGATGTTCATAGCAAGTAGGGATGGCAATCCAAATCAGAATACAAAACTAAACCCTTGGAGGAGAGCAGAAGACGGTGCTTCTTTATATTAATGACACCTCTCAGATTCTCCACCATTAATGGCTTTACATTCCTATTGATCATAAATACAGAATATGGGATTGAAAGATAAATTATGCGATGCCCCAGACACTTGAAATATAAGACCAAAATAAAGGAATATGGGCTTTGCTCAGTTAAGAGCTGTGCTTGATACCTCTTTTAAAAAGGAATCACAAGTCACTAGCATTTTCCTGGGGTGTGGGAGTGGAGGGTAGATGAATAAGAAATAAAGCCCTCCATTCCCTGGGGCTGCTGGATGAGAGAGTAGTCAATAGTGAGCACACTCAGC